CCTGACCTTTCCTCCTCGCATTGGGTAGATCAGGATAGCCCTGCAAGCCAGATCTGACCTCCATCGTGGGCTGGATCCGGCCCATGAGCCTTGAGTTTGACACCCTCCCTTCTAATGAAGAAGGCGACTGTCAACTCATAAACCATTCCTAGGCCTGTTTTAGTAGTTGCCATTAAAAAAAAGGCGGGGGGGGGGGGGGGAGGAAGAAAATCTGGAAGAGCAGTGCAGCAAAGCGAAAGTACATTCCAACTCTTATCTTTAAAGGATTGTAGCTAAACTACCAGAGCTTTTGCCTGTGAATATATTTAATTGGAGAACGTGATGGATGACACCCAGCCCGTGAACGGGCTCAATTGGAGAATCTGATTTATGACACACCTAGGAGAAAGGGGGGAGGGAAACAGGGTCACAGAGGACTGTGAATTACGTATGCCAGAGTTGGCTTCATGCCGGCATGTTGCTCCTAATAAATCTTTTGAGTTTTTTTTTGAAGTTTGGCTCGAGAATCATGATTTAATTAGGGCGATGGCTGGAATCCTGACAGCGACAGCTGCCTCGCTTACCAGCATATCCGTGGCGATCAGGTAGTGCTTGCTGCCCGTGTACTGCTGCAGCTTCTGCGGCACCTGCTTGATGGTCTCGATCTCGTCCAGCAGATTCAGGACGTGCTTGTGCTCGATCCCTTCGATCCACAGCTTGCGCAGCTCATCCCGCTTGCAGTGCAGGAGCATTTTGCAGGAAACCAGGTTCTCCTTCACCTGCAAGGAGGGGAGAAACAGCAAGAGGGGAAACCCAGGTGACTCCGAGGGTCCCCTTGCCCGGAAGCGACCGACTCGCTTCAAATCAAAGGGCAGGTACTCCTCGACTTACAACCTCTCCGTTTGGTGACTGTTATAACGGCACTGAAAGTGACCTACGGCTGTTTTTTTTCACACTAACGACTGTTGCAGCGTCCCCAGGGTCAGTGAACAAAATTCAGCTGTTTGGCAACCGACTCACACTTATGAAGATTTCAGGGTCCCAGGGGGTCTTGTGATCCCCTTTTGCGACCTTCTGATAAGCAAAGGTAATGGGGGAAGCCAGATTCACTGAACAACTGGGTTACTTATTTAACAGCCTCGGTTATTCACTTAACAACAATGATGTCAACTCATAAAATATTTCTATGGTCTTTTTAGAATAGCCAACAGAAAGGGAGGGGGAAGTAATGGACAGCTTAGGATCTCCAATGATAATGATAAATTATATAAATTACATAAACTGTTTCAACTCCTATACTCAAAACAACACTATAGAGCACTGCATACCAGAACAACTAGACACAAGGACAGTTTTTCCCAAATGCCATCCCTCTGCTAAACAAATAATCCCCTCAACACTGTCCAACTATTTACAAAGTCTGCACTACTATTACTATTAATCTTCCCGTCACTCCTTATCACCCATCCCCTCCAACTTGTGACTGTAGGACTGCAACTTTGTCGCTTGTATCCTTACGACTTATATTGACTGTTTCCTAGTATGATTTGGTTGCTTATCGTACCCTATGACTATCATTAAGTGTCGTACCTTATGATCTTGATTCTTAATGAATGTCTCTTTTCTTTTATGTACACTGAGAGCATTTGCACCAAGACAAATTGCTTGTGTGTCCAATCACACTTGGCCAATAAAGAATCCTAACTAACTATTCTAACTAAATAAAATGATAGAGGGGGAAAAAACTGAGCCATCAGCCAGGTGAGTCAGCTGCGTAGGACAACCTTGCTGAAGAAAAGAAGCACAACTCTTACCAATCAATTTAACATCCGCGAGGTCAGGGGTCCATACCAGAAAGAATGAGTTCTGTTTAAGAGGCTAAAAGCCAAGAAGTGGGACCCCACCTATAAGTCACTTCAAATCTATCCTGTTAATTTCAGCCGGACTGCATCACACACCGCTAATGTCATTTAAAAATAATGCAATGCACAAGCTGGTAATGGCTTTTCTCACTGTTGTTTTGTCTCGAATACAAATTGCCTCGTTTCCTCCACTCCTACTTTTTAATGCAGCGGAACACCAGACAGGTAACACCTCCCTGGTGAGGTTGTTATCACTGGCAAAACATAAAAAGCTTGAAACACAAATCCAGAGATGTCTAATATTCAAAAACATGTGTCTTTTTTTTTTCCAGAGATAAAAAAACAACCCATCTTGTATACTTCCACATTGCTGCTGTGAGCGCTTGCAAAAAAGCACGGAAAGGTAGCGAAAACTCTTGAGACTTTCTTTACTTGTGACAAGATCCGAAATGATGACACAACCGCAACAGTTCCTGAGCCCAGAAAGATAATGCTATCCCATAAGACGTCCCCAACAGCTTTTGAGATGGAGGGAAACTTAGGAAGCATTTTATTATGGATTTACTACATCGAGGCGCTGTGGGTGGTGTGATGGGTGGTGTATAAATTTAATGAATAAATAAAATCATAAGAGAGAATCTATTTGGGGGCGAGACAGAGCAAAAAAAACCTTTGGAAAACAGTGGCTTGGGCCAGCAGAAAGCTGCCACCCCATCATTAAGTCAAGACAAAATCAACGAAACAAGGCACAGGTGGTATCCAAATATCCAGGGGTTTCTGGCATCTAAAAAGAAAGTTCATTGGAAGAAAATCAAGGTTATGCTCATATTCTTGCATCGTAGACAACATACAGCCGCACGATTGTGGTGCCAATTTCACAGTTACAATAACATCCTGGAGAAATCATACAGCCGTGGCATCGGCTTTTTGGTAAGTCCCAGATAAAATAGACTTCGCGAGCAAATCCCAATTTTCTGGGTCTCTTTTGATTTCCCCCCTGCTATAATATACTGCATTTCTCAATCTTGGCAACTTTTAAGAGGTGTGTTGTTCAACTCCCAGAATCCTGGGAGTTGAAGAACGCAGAACTTAAAGCTGGTAAGGTTAAGAAACAATGCTATATAACGCTTTCCTTCATTGATAAAGACCTGTGGTGGCGCAATGGTTAGAATGCAATATTGCAGGCAAACTCCACCCATTACCAAGAGTTTGAATCCCACCAGGCTCAAGGTTGACTCAGCCTTCCATCCTTCTGAGGTAAGTAAAATGAGGATCCATATTGTTGGGGGGGCAAGAGGCTGACTCTGTAAACCACTTAGAGAGGGCTGCAAAGCACTGTGAAGTGGTATATAAATCTAAGTGCTATTGCTAAGTGGGAGGGAGGAGGGGAAGGAAGGGGAAGGGAAAGGAGAGGAGAGGAGAGGAGAGGAGAGGGGAGGGGAGGGGAGGGGAGGGGAGAGGAGAGGAGGGGAGAGGAGAGGAAAGGAAAGGAAAGGAAAGGAAAGGAAAGGAAGGGAAGGGAAGGGAAGGGAAGGGAAGGGAAGGGAAGGGAAGGGAAGGAAAGGGAAGGAAAGGAAAGGGAAGGAAAGGAAAGGAAAGGAAAGAATGGAAGGGAAGGAATGAAAAGGAAAGAAGGGAGGGGAAGGGAGGGAAAGGAAAGGAAAGGAAAGGAAGAGCCCTGATGGCACAGTGGTGAATCTCAGTATTGCAGGCTAACTCTGCTGACTGCCAAGAGTTTGATCCTGATTGACTCAAGGTTGACTCAGCCTTCCATCCTTCCGAGGTGGGTAAAATGAGGGCCCAGATGGTTGGGGGAAAGAGGCTGACTCTGTAGACAGCTTAGAGAGGGCTTTGAAGCACCGTGAAGCAGTATATAGATCTAAGTGCTATTACTAACAGCTAGATCACCCTCCGAGCATTGGAAAAGCCATTCCAAGAATCCAAACTCTAGCTATGCCACAAACTGCAGCCCAAAATTTCTGCGTGCAATTTACACACAGTTCTCCACTTACAACAGTTCGTTTAGTGACCGTTCAAAGTCAGAACAGCACTGAAACAAGTGACTTAGGACCATTTTTCACAGTTAACGACGGTTGCAGCATCCCCACGGTCACGTTGATTAAAATTCAGACGCTTGACAACTGATTCGTATTGATGACAATTGCAGTGTCATAAATGTGTGTGATCCCCTTTTCTGGCAAACCAAGACAATGGGGAAAGCCCGGTTCACTTAACAACCCTGTTACTCACTTAACGACTGCAGGGGATTTGCTTAGCAACAAAGGCAAGAAAAGTCATAAAAGGGGGCCCAAACTCACCGAACAGCTGTCTCACTTAGCAACAGAAATCAATTGTGGCCGTAAGTCGAGGACTACCTGTGTTAAGGAAACACCGTCTATGGAAGAATGAAGGTAGTTTTGCAGTGCAAGCCTTCAAGGCATAGTTCCCCCCCCCCCCCAAAAAAAATCTCAGCATTGATAAATGTCCTTTAGACCAAATTCAACCCCTGCTCGACACAGAAATCCGAAGGAAACTTCTGACAAATGCAGGTGGACGCATCCAACTGAGGGAAACGCCAGGAATCCCAGTCTGCTTAAGTCAACTGGTCCCACTGCCAGGCTGCTCGGATTGTTAGGGAGGGCTTTTTTTTTTTCCCAACTGCCATCTGGAAAGACCCTCTCTTATTCATTGAGCTCTAATCGGATATTAGGGCTAATAAACCGATAGCGGAAA